TGTTATTATGGAAAGTGCTCATCAGATGGGAGAGGTACCTGCGGAGGCCCATTAGCTCACATGCTAAAACCTTGATCAGCGTCATTAGGAAGACAAGAGCCCATTGTCTTCTAGCTCACCTCTGAAATGCTTCCTGTAAAGAGCTCTGCTCCACATGTTGTTGAAGTTCTTAGATTGAATAATCCTAACCAATTGTTTATGCTGTGTATTGTCATTTGCCTAGTTGAATACCTGAATCTATCAATAGAACATTTTACATAGTAGGTTAAGCATACTGAAACTGAATCACAAGTGACTAATTCTCAGGAATACTTGGTGCCATTTTCTTTCTATATTAGTGCTTCTGCTTTTTGCTCCTCCCAGCCTTACTTGGAACAATGAGTAACAGTCATTGGGTGTTGTTTGGGGAGTTTGTGTGCTTCATTTCTATGGACAAACTGTCCAGGACATGCCTGACTATAGATTTGACTGACCTCCTCCTTGTGGTGGAGAGACTTGGCATTAGCTGTTTGGAAACAGTCTCTTGGGACCCCTAGTGCCCTCTCCAGCTAACTGACTGTGTGCTATGTTTCCACAGTTATATCTCTGAGCAACTGGGACCAAAAAAGCCTTTGCTTGACCCAAACGGCCGAGCGAGGCTGAGGCAGCCTGTGAACTATGAAAATTCCCCAATTCTTTTGTTTTGTTATAGGCACTTGAGTTGACCTTCCTGGCTCTGTGGGAGGAAGGCTGTTGTTTTAACAAAACCAGCAGCGTTTACCTCAGCGCTGAATGAGGCACCTCACCTTGAGACAGCATACTTGAGGTTTTGAATGGCACGTCTTTGTTTTACTTTGGTTCGAGCTGGGTTTTTTTGTAGTGGTTGACTTCCCTGAGAAAATGGCATTGCAGAGCCGCAAGGGCAGACTCTGTGACGACAGGGTCTGTACTCTTTGAGGATGCCTGTGGTAGTTTCACCGCTGCCTGCCTGGCCCTGAGCTCCATATGAGATAAGTGGCGTACCTCAATGAGAGAGCCTGTAGTACCAAGGCTAAATATAGAGATAGAAGAGAGTTAGAAGGACAGACAAATAGTGGCTGCTGCTTATGATGAGTCAATCTGTCTAATCACAAGCAGAACAACAGCAGACCTAGGAATACGTGTCAGTCCTTTGGCTGAAATTAGTTGCAGAGAGAGCACACCCTTTGATCTGTGTCTTTAAGACAGGGAAAAGTGTTTTGGTTGGACATTCCAGACATACCTCCTACACATTCTGGTATAAGAGCTGTCGGCCTGCACATAAGACGTATATCTTTACAGATGTCTTTATAGGTAATGAATCAAGATAAAAGCTTACTTCAGACGGTAATGTGTTTGTTCACAGACTATATGTGTTTCGCTGTGTCCTCATCTAAAACTCGCTTATTAAGCCAGTCACTCACACCTTGAGGGCCTCAAAGCACAGAGATAGCTCACTCCCACAGAGGTTGAGATACTGCCATTCCAATCTGGCATGCCTCAGTGTATGAAAGCACAAACCGAGCCATCTGCTGTTGTACAAACACGACTCCACAGTGATTGTAAGTTCCTAATGTCTCGTTTTCATCAATCAGGTCAGGATCAAATAGCCTGTGCCTAAAATAAGTGCCAGCGAGTTTACATAATTACAGGACAGAATCAACACAATGAACCTGTGTCAGGGGACCCATGGCGCTTGATGTTCTGTGCTGACAGATCAGCCATGATATGTCTGCCAAGGTGATCCCCTCAAATGGGGTAACGGTGAGCCTGTTTTGGGAGTAACCCACACAGTCACCCCTTTGCCAGTAATTGATACAGCCTGGCAGGTGTCATAACAACACAGCCGTCTCTCCAGCAGGCATATTTAAGTGTGGCTGACAGAAACTGTCTGGCGCTATCTTTCAATAGACTCTGGGAACTTCGTTAGGGGGAAAGAGGGTGAGGAGTGATGGTGAGGGTGGAGAAATTCAAGCAGCTTTCAGATATTTACTGAGGTCTTACGGTACTGTAGCATGGTGAACTACAGCAAGTATTTGTAGCATGTTGCAAATATGTGTGAAGACTAAATAACATGCCAAGAGGCTTTCATTTCATCAGCTTGTCTGCTACCATCACAACACTTGGAATTGAGACCATGATGTATTTTATGGCCCATAGGCTAAGTGGATACATTCACCATGGAGTCACCCATTGCTCTGTGGCCCAAAGGTTGTTTTTTTTGCAAGTACAGGTGACAAGAAGGTAAAGCAAAGTACAACCAAATGCAGAAAAATACATTTTAAGCCAAAAGAAGTTAAAATTAACTTTCATGTACTGAAAAAACTCAGTGAAATTGTAACGTGCTTCATTGTCTATTCTAACCCTAACCCTCTAAATGGGAACATACATTTACATCGAGCTATATTGAAAACAACTTAAAACTTGCAATGTCACACACACAAAACAAAGCTACAACTTGGGTAAATAAATCAGGTAAATAGTATTTCTCATAGACTTCGATACAACCATCTGTCAACCAGTGGAGACGCCCCCTGCTGGCCATTAGAAACATCATTAAGTTGCCTCAAGCTGTTAAATGTGGAGCTATAATCAAGCTGTATTATGTTGAAGCTGTTGGGCTTGCATTGATTTTTGCTGTTTTACCCAGATCCATAGAAGGTTTTTGTGTGGGAGGGAGTTGTAAAGGTGTGATCTTTGCCCAAAGGCTACGGACCAACTTAAAACCAAAGACACCGCCAAAGGTTATTATTACCTCAGGTGTTCAACACACTGCAAAACCTGAAAACTTTCCTCCACCTATCAATGCTTTTTCTCTCAGCTGCGTAGGAGTTGTCCTCTTGTTGTGTGCTAGCATCTTAGCGCTAATGAGGCCAGCTGTCCAAACGCTCAGCCGGTCAGCCAGAAGGGACTGCAGCCTTTGTTGATGCTAGGTGTTACATCTCCTGTTGGAACACACATTTTTGTTTCAACACCGCCAACCATTTGGCACAGGAAGACCGTCTCTGCTCACCCCCCACACCACCAACACTACTCGCCATCCTTTACTCTTTCTCCCCCCCCCGCCCCCTTTGCTGTACTTTCCTACTTTTATTGTCCTGCTGGCCGTTGCCACCCCCGTCTGCGCACACCAGCACATTGATTTTCTCTCTACAGCTTTATATTTGATCATTTTCTCTCGACACTGCCAGTGTTGCCTTTGTAATCGCTGACCTCAGCTCCACACCTGAGTGGCTGTGGCCTTAAACAGTCTCTCAGACTCGTCCTAAAGCACCTTCTGTTTCAGAATGAAGAGTTGCACTCTGTTTGGACTGCTGAATGGACAATACATCACCTGGCAGAGACTTTATGACAGAAAAGAGAGGTAGGGATAGAGGGAGAGAGAGGTGGTGTAAGGTAGAGAGAAGAGAGAGTACAGAGTAGTTTATACAGTCGCAGAATTCTATATAAGTCCAATTCATTATACGTTTATGTGAATGTGAGGGTTGCAAGTCATTAATTGTTCTATTGGCTAGAAATCCAAGTACAAAGGGTGTGTGTCACTCCTGAATGTATCTTTTGAAAACGACACTATGGTGGCAGTCACATCATATCCAAGAGGGGAAAAAAAGATAATATTGTGAAGTGAGGAATAGTGCAAAGAGAGGAAAGAGGTTTCGGAATGAAATAGCTCTCCTGATGAACCCTATAGGATTTCGCAGCTGCGGCACAGCGGTGTTGACCCCGCAAACGACTCGCCAAATAACAGCGCTTCTCCCTCCTCCTCCACCACCTTTCATCCCTCCGCCCCCACACCTCCTTCCTCCCGCCTCCCCCTCAGCCTGAACCCTGCACGTCTACCGAGTTTGTGTGAATACCAACCGGTTGTAATGACCTGCACAATGCGGAGAGAAAGGAAGAGACCTCACCGAAACAATTCTCATTGATTGAAACAGAGGATCACGGTTCTCCCAGATACGCCTCCTCCCGACAAAAAACATTAGCAGCCACTTCAGAAAGAGGTGGGCGAGTTGGGTTGGGGTGGGTGAAGATAGAGAGAGAAAATGTTCAGGTGCTTTGTACTGGCAGTGCATATTCAGCGAGTGAATGCGAGCCGTGTGTGTGTGTGCGAGCGCTGTGTGTGATGTGAGATAAAGTAGCTGGAGAGGTAGTTTCAGTGCTGCAACCCGGGCCCTCTGCTGACTGGGCTGCTCTCACTGGAGAATTGATTTGGCCTCGGAGAGGATCTGTAGCTCTGTAGTGGAACAGAGAGATGGAGCGGAGGGAAGGGGGGGGGGAGAGAAATGCTAGGAGAGTGGGTGGAAGTAACACAGGTGGAATTGAGAGATGGAGGAACTGGGTGGAAATGAAAAGGAGCACACACTCACACACATCTGAGGCAGACAGTCGGTCAGGGAAATTTACTCCCTGTAATAACCCTCTCTGTGGGCCGCCTGTGTCTGTGTCTCCTGGCTCCTTCAGCCCATAACACAAGCGACCAGGTCACACCGACTCCCACGCAGCACACACACCACTTCAGCCCGCTCTGTAATGATCTCACACACCAGGTCTGTGTGTCTCCAAGTTACTAAGTGTGAATTTTCGGTTTCTCCCTGTTGTTTGGGAGTTTTCGAGGTTACGGTTCATATCTTTCTCAAATGTTCACTTTTTACTACAGTGAGACCTCCATTCGCTCTGTTGTTGGTGCCCAAGCTGCTTTAAAAAAAAACTATTTTTACCGTGAGGATCATTTAAAGAGTCATCTTATCTATAGGACTTTGGTGTGTTTAATTGGTGTTTCAAGCTCCTTACCCTCCTCCCTTTAATAGTCTTGATATTTAAATGACATACTACATATATTTAACCTCTCTGACTTGTGGCCTTTCACATTTAGTGCTCATAATCAAGAAGCACACACCTCCTATTATCTTTATCAAGGATGAAAATGTGTGTAAAAGGCTAATACAAATAGACATAATCTGAGCAGTCATTCTAACCTCTGTCCTCCATGTCTCCTTGTGCAGTGACCAACTACAGTGATGTGGTGGAAGCCGGCTCAGAATCAGATGATGAAGACAAGCTGCACATTGTGGAGGAGGAAGGCAGCCTGGCGGACGGGGCCGACTGCGACAGCACCCTGCCAGAAGAGGAGCACCCCAGGGAGCGCTGCTGGGACGGAGGTGAGACATGACGCACACTCATAGGACGTATTATTAATATCATTTGCAGTGAGCAAAGCAAATACAAACGTCATCTTCCTACTCACCATTTCCACAACGTTCTCAGACTTGTGTTCCTCTTTTCTGCAATGCACAAGTTCTTATTTAATCTCGTTTTTAGCTTTAAAATGTACAATCATGCTAGTGGGGTAAAACAGCATTTGATTTATTGTTTGCCAGATCTGTCTTTAAGTGCCAGTTTATTGAGACAAGCCACAGTAAGGGATTTCATGGAACTAGTATCATCCAAATGACACTGGAAACTGTTCCGTATCATTGTTAAGCTTGTAGACAAACTTTTTTTAATTAAATGTCTCCAGCACATAAATGAAAATGTGCCTTTCCGCCTCTCTATGTATTGTTATGACATTAATTTTCTTACCGGTACTGTCTCATTTTGACCTCCTGACGTGAAGCAGGCTAAGTTAAGAAATGTTTTGCTGACGTCTGTGCGCAGATAAGTACCAGGCTTTGTCTCATTGTGAAACCCAGAGTGTAAGGAAACAGGTACTACACGTGGTGGGTCTCCAACTAAGGCAGGAAGTACGATATTAAACAAAGACAATGCCAACACAGGGAGAGACCTTCAAGCACAGAGAATAGCCTCGCAACCAAAAAGCCAGTGGAGAGCTTTATGGCACTGGTGGGCATTGGAGGGGCTGCCGTGAACTTCTTGTTACCTCAAACGGTGTGGAAGTGACATCAGAGGCAGCTCAGTGCCACAGGAAGGGCTGACGTCACACCCCATGCCCCTCCACAACAACAATCACAGGTGCTGAAGGATACTGGTGTTTCAACCTGTGCCCAAGGCCTCTGCGTGGCGTTTCTGACCTCATACTGCATGTGCATAAAAATATGTATGTGTGACATTGTTAGTGTCCGACTGTGCCAAGTACAGTATGTGCACCACATGGACAGGCCCATATGAGATGTAATCCAGCCACTAACATTTTTATTTGAGGGTGTTGTTCCTTACACGGGTGAGAGATGTGTGAGGCTGAGGGGGGGCTCGGATTTAGCAAGAGGTCAAGTTAGCGCCTGCCTTAATGTCCGGCTAGCTAACGCTTTCAGTTTAGGGAGGGATCTTTTGAAATTCCTGTCCAATGAGTTTCAGCTCAGTCAGTTTCACTTGCAAGGTTTCGGTTGCACGTGCACCACAGACCTGTGCACAGTGGAGCCACATATTCCCCTGACTATGTTGTCATTTTCATCGCTACTCCCCAGCTGTACCTCCATGCATAAAGGGAAAGTTGGAGGAAGAATAATGTCATTGGTTTTGGCCGGGACTTGTGAACATTAAACACTTCAAAAGCATGAGTTACACTGAAAGAGCTCAGTGAGCTGGCAGCGCTCCACAGTTATGCCTGATCATGCATATTTTCTTTTGCCTTCACTCAAGTGCACACACACACCTCTCTTTCTCACTCTCTTACTGTATATAGCCTTCATATCATACATCAGGCAACATCCTCTCTGCCACTCTGAACCGGACTGATGAAACATGGGAAAGCCGCAGTTCTTTAAACAAACACACTTCACTCGTCTCTCATCTCCTCATCCCTTGGTTTCACTCCTGAGATCGGAGAAGTCCCTGGAGCAGCCTTGAATAGTGACCACCACCCACTAATCTTCTCCTCAACGCTGCTTCAAATTAAAACCTTGACACCCCTTCTCCTGAGACTAACGCGCTCCAAAACCAAAAGGTGGTTTTTCAATGCTCTACCATCTCTCCTTCACTTTCCTCCCCTCTTTTTACACTCTCTTGCTGTTTCTCTCGTTCTGAATCATTCCTCCTGATTATATGGTATCATGGGCACCCTGCTCGCTGTCATTACTCATTCACTCCTAAATGATTATGCAGGAGTGGAGGAGCCCAGTGTTGGTGCCGTAAACTACAGCCTGCTTTTCTCTAAGAAGAGGCCGACTAACTCCAGGGGATAAAAAGGTGGAGAGAGTGTTGACCTGGGAGGGCTTCTCCTTTATATGTGATGATTTGTAGAGCATGATTACATCTCAGAGAATAGGCAGGGTGGATCTGGAGAGCTTTTTTATTGTGGGGCAGCAAAGGCACTTAATGACAGCGAAAGGCTGGGTTTAGCATGGAAATATTTCCTAAGGCAGTGAGAAGCTGGCTGTTAGGGCACTAAGTCAGTACTGAAGCGAAGGCTCTCACGCACAATGACACCTACCAATTTCCTCACTGTTGGCCCAACATGCAGTGATGATATGTCATACTCCTATGAATCAGTCTAACATCCATTTTGATCACAGTGGACACACAGGAACACCTACATTCCTGATGCTTTATGTCACCACGTGATGTTTAAAGTGAGCCACCCTTCTGGACAGGAAAGGAAGAATCTCCAGAGAGCTGGGAAGATTGTCCAGTGGAGACATACGGCACAAATACATGATAAGCAAGTCATCCCAGATTTGGAAATACCTTGCATGTAATCTCTGACTTCCCTCCTCTGAGATAAAGTGTAACATCTTTACTGGGATTGTTGAATATTTTAGCTGTTTGTGCAAATCCTTATCACTGATGTCTCTCCCATTCAAGATACAAACATGTGTGGATGCACAACCACAGGAAGCAGTGGGGGCAAAGGTCATCCAGGGCAGGAAATGCATCATGGGATACCGTTGTATCATGTTGCAGGGATGTAGGCAGAGAAGGATGAGAAGGGAGCGAAGGAAAAAGAAGAGTGGGTGGTCTGGTGATTTAGTTCTAATACGTACTTTGGTAAGGAAACACTGTAAAGCGCAGAAAGGAAAAACCTACTTTTTTTGTGCTGCAACAGAATGTCCTGCTACAACCTCACGGGGTTTTTGTTCTGGGGTTTCTGAACTGATTTTCCACTTGTGCAGTGGTGCGTTCACATCCCTGCGTCAGCACATAAATGGCCTGTGTGGTGTTTCATGTCAGGGGAGCAGCCTGATAACGCGGAGCCGCCTCAGCGAGGCTGTGAACCCTTCTGGCTTCACGAGGTCTGTACTTAACAAAGAGCCGAGACACACACACACACACACACACACACACACACACACACACACACACACACACACACACACACACACACACACACACACAACACACACACACACACACACACACACACACACACACACACACACACACACACACACACACACACACACACACACACACACACACACACACACACACACACATCACACACACACACACACACACACACACACACACACACACACACACACACACAACACACACACACACACACACACACACACACACACACACACACACACACACACACACACACACACACACACACACACACACACACACACACACACACACACACACACACACACACACACACACACACACACACACAGAGTGAAAACAACCGCTTGTACTACCTTTGCACCACAGGCCCCCCACTGGGACTTCACTTCACACACATGCTCAACATTTAGTAGCCTAGAGGTGTGTTTGGATGCTGCCTTTGAGTTGAAGGGGGCTCAACATAGACAGATCAGCAATTTCCCACATGCGACAATGTGTGTGCAATATCTTGTCAACAGCCAACACAACTGTGAAAAATACACTTCATTGAAACATTTCCCACAATGTCAAACTTTTTCTAAAGAAGAGAAAATGTAGCAAATGTGTCTACGGGGTGTTGTTGGTCGTGGGAAAAAGCTGCGTGCTATGTGGGGGTTAGCAGCCCCTAATGTGTTTCTGACCCTCCACTTTATGATGAGAATTCCACAATTTCAAAAAAAAAAGAAGAAGCAGCTGTTGGTTTCTGCCTTACACATAACACCCAGCCTCTTTCTCTGAACGATCTATTATCCAGGGTTTTTTATAGAGGGAAGTTTCTTCGAATGGTCTTTAATAACCGTAGCAACAAATGACCGCGCTCATATTGTCTCATGGCTTTGTTAAGGTGCACCACAGGAAGCCCAATGTTAGAGAACTGGTATTCACTGTGCGTCTGTGAGTCATGATGTGCTACACCTGTTCCCCTCTCCGAGGAGCACACAGCTGGCCCCGTCTTTCAACACCAGCACAATTCACAAAACACAATTCTCAAATCTCCCCTAAGCTGGAGGAGTGCTTAAATCAATCCATAAAACATCTGCCCAGTAAACACCACCACAGTAGCGTAACTTTGCTTTTAGCTGATAGCTCTCCCTTGTAATTATTCCCTGTAATGATACACATAGGCACACTAACACATCCATAGAGGAATAATGCTCGGGTTTTATCACAGACACACTTTACTCAGTTCCGGTATCCACTTCAGGAAGCATGCAGGGACGGAAAGAGGGTAGGAAGCTTTCCTGCATCCTTAACTCCATCCTCAGGTTACACTTCCTATAAGCCGCTGCTTGGTAATTAGTGCTCGTTAGACTAGCTAGCTCATGTGATGTGGAGGAAGAACGCTCAGCTCCCACATGCAGGCGCTCATTTGCTGCGATATTAAGCACAGTCTGAAGGCCAAGCCTCTCCAGAGAGCGAAGCGTAGAGTGTGTGTGTGTGTGTATCCCTTCCTGCCTAACATCTATCTGCTGCAATACAACAGGACAAGATTCATCATCTCATTATCAGTGTCGATCGCAACAAGTACCTTACCTAACATTGTGAATAGAGGCTTGCCATTCAGTTCTTACAAAGAGCTGGGTGCACGTACAGTAGCCCGTGGCCTTTGATGCTAATTAGCTTTCTCATCCTATTGTGAACAGCATTCAGGATGTTTTTGTTTTTTTTCCCCGGCGCCACATGCCTCATCCCAGGCTTGTGTACATGTCATGATCAAGGGCTTGGACTGCAAGATCCGTTTCAGCTATATTGACACTGACATTATTGGATTATCACATTTCATGTTCAGAGGTTAGGGCTTCATATGTAGAGCGCGCATCGATGGGAAAACATGTTCAAATAACGCGGTAATCGATGATACCTTTTTGCAAGCACGACTTTAATCAGTGTCTGTTTCACCCTTCACAGTGAAGGAGGATTGTGTGTCGGACGCTGAGGATGATGGGAGCACGGACGCACTAATGGAGGAGATGCTCCAGCAAGGAGACACGGCCGTCATTTACCCAGAGGCCCCAGAGGACGAGCCTCAACGCCAGGGCACCCCTGACGCCAGCGTCCACGATGAAAATGGTATGCCACAAGAGCAAATTCAAAATGTTTACACATCCTTTTCCAGACATGTTATCATGTGCCTTATGCAGTAATTGCTTTAAATGGATCTATAGCATAAAAGCAAGGTGTTGTGTCCCTAAATTACACACACACACACCACTATTTCCACCTGAGAGATCACAGTCACTGAGCTCTCACACTATAGCTGCTCCTACCCAGTAATTACGGCCCCCCTGGGGATGGCTATACCTGCTCCCCGTCTCACCTTAGGTGTTAACTCCACCCCATTAACGCCACTCTCCGACATCATTACACACACCGCTATTTGTTAAGTGCAGCACACTAGAGCCTTTATTGCTCCCGGGCTTTTGGCTTTTACCTGCTACGACAGAGGGGGGGAGGAGGGGAGGGCCTGAGGGAGCGAAACAGCAACACCTGAGTAAATTTGTCACGTCTGTGCGAGGTCTGACTCACGGCTACCTGGCCCATAATGTGTGTGCATTCCCATCCCGAGGCCCTCACCTGTCCCGCAGGGGAACTTAATACATCACCTGTTAACGGAATAATGCTTCACCTGTGTGGGAGCCGGGCATCTGAGACCTTCTGTTAACCAGGTTGGATCTCTGCAGGCGGCTGTTATTTACCGAGTGCGCTGTTCCTTACATGAGTGGGTGTTTTTGACACGCTTCAAACGCACAATAGGCAATCAAATTGGATGGAATTTCAGGCGTGTAAAAGCTATAATTAAAGTACAAAAGCACAATTAAATTCCAGTCCTGCATTGGCAACCCAGCGTGCTATTTCTTTAAGGAAAGGAATGTGTTAATATGGATCACTAATCAGCTTTTGTACATTTGGTTACCTGGGAGCTGTTTACCTGAGGGGGAGGATCTCTCGGTGATTGGTGAACTAGCAGAGGAGTGTGACTGTGGCAGGCCTTGTGTAACATCAAAGAGCCCTCCCTATTGACCATGTGTTCTAACCCCCTCTTTTCCTCCCCCCTTTACTCTCACACATGTCATTACAACACTTTCCTCTTCTTTTTTTCCCCCCCAGGAACTCCTGATTCCTTCTCTCAGCTGCTCACCTGCCCATACTGCGCGCGTGGCTACAAGCGTTACAGCTCCCTGAAGGAGCACATCAAGTACCGGCACGAGAAGACCGAAGAGAGCTTCAACTGCCCCGAGTGCAGCTACAGCTTCGCATACCGCGCTCAGCTGGAGAGGCATATGACGGTCCACAAGGGCGGACGGGATCAGGTAAAAACTGACTGACAAACCGGCTAGGACTGGATACTGATAAAACACCTTCACTGGCTTTTTTTCTGACTTACGTGCTTAATGGAGTTAGATGATTTATACATATTGTGGTACTGTGAAAATGAAGTATACACATTAGCCTTCAACATTTTTACAAGATTAAGATAAGATAAGATGGAACTTTATTTATCCCCTTGAGGAAATTCAGGCGTTTATGGCAGCAACAGTGTCAGAATGAAAAACAGGATTCACACAAGGTAAAAATAAAGATAAAATAGAATACAAATCAAAATAATAATACAGCATAAACAGGATATCACAGTAAAAAGTTGAGCATTTACATATAAATATATTTACATAAGTGTGCAGATGTGAGTGCAGGTTAAAGTCTTGTAAAAACTGGTTTTATGTATGTACAGTCTACAGTCTGAGAAACTAGTCAACATCTGCTATGTTTATCATTTTGTATGACAAATATTCCTTGCTTGACTGATTTTTATATTTTTAACAGTCTTCTTAAATAGTCAGTGCAGCTTTAAGTTGCTAATTCTTCTGTCCCGCTGTAGTAATTATCCATTGGCAAATTGATTCTAAATGATACAAACCTATGTGGAAGCTTATTCCTGTTTCGTTAGCGACTCATTTCCAAACATTGCACTTTTGCCCTCATTGATTAATGACATTGTGACATGAATTAGTAGCAGTTCAAAGGTTGTGCTATCGTACTGAATATCCCCTCTCCTTTTCGTCCGACAGAGACACATCACACAGTCGGGAGGCAATCGTAAATTCAAGTGCACTGAATGTGGCAAAGCATTTAAATACAAGCACCACCTGAAGGAGCACCTACGCATCCACAGCGGTGAGTGGACCACCATGGCTGCATTCTGCGTGTGTGTGTGTGTGTGCGTGTGCGTGTGCGTGTGCGTGTGTGTGTAGGCCTACTGAAAATGCCATGATTCTCTGCAGGCCACAGATATTTCAGTGTACATTAAACCAATATGAATCTTTTCTATTGATGATTTAGCAATTCCCTATGTTTAGATATCCTTCATTGTGGTTCAATGCATTGTATGCTCTACCTTTAGTGCCATAATTGTGTATCTTTTGGCATTATGGGACAGCAATTAGAGAAGGGCATTTCCCAATGGTGCCATTACATCAGCGTTTAAGCATCGTTGAAATGCATTAGAGGTTTTTCCTACTGTGCTGCTCATAGTCTAACTTGCTAATTTAGCTTCATTTACTAATGGAGATCTGCTTCTGTCCTCCCCCACCCCCTCTCTTTCTCTCTCTGCTATGCACATTGTGGTTTTTATTCAGGAGAGAAACCGTATGAGTGCTCCAACTGCAAGAAGCGCTTCTCTCACTCAGGCTCATACAGCTCCCACATCAGCAGTAAGAAGTGCATCAGCGTCATCTCAGTTAACGGCAGAGCGCGCTTGGGGAACGCCAAAACCCAGACCCAGGCTCCATCTCCAGGGCTGCCCACGTCACCATCAGCCCTCCGCACCCAGATGCAGAAGATGGAGCACAGCAAGCCACTGCAGGAGCAGCTGCCACTCAATCAGATCAAGACTGAGCCTGTGGACTATGAGTACAAGCCCACATTGATGACATCCGCAGCAATGGCCGCTATGAACGGTGGGGTTTTCAACGGAGGTACTGCATCTTCTCTGCAGGGCACGGTGCAGGCTGTGGTCCTTCCCACTATGGGGCTGATGTCACCCATCAGTATCAACCTGGCCGACCTGCAGAATGCTCTCAAGGTGGCGGTGGACGGAAATGTCATTCGCCAGGTTCTGGAAAGCAATGCCAAAGGTCAGCTGCAAATGCACTCGGGACTAACCACTGGAATGCTCCATCCCACACAGCAGCAACTCATCTCAGCCATCAGTCTGCCTATTGTGGGTCAGGACGGAAACACAAAAATCATTATAAACTACAGTTTGGACCCCAACCAGGGCCAGCTCACAGCCCATAACATGAAGAAAGAGCCAGAGGCAACCTCACTAGGCCAGAAACTCCCAGAGGATCTAACCATCAAAGGCTCCCGGCTCAATGAGACTAAAGAAAAAGAGGAAAAGACCACTAAAACCTGCCTCCTGTGTGATAACTGTCCCGGTGGGCTGGAATCACTCCATGCCCTCAAGCACTGCAAGGATGGCCTCAGGCTGAACGGTCTAGATAAGTCTGAGTCTGCTGTGGCTGCCTTGCTGTCAGAGGGCGGGCTCTGTAACCAGCCCAAGAACCTCTTGTCCCTGCTCAAGGCTGTGGCCTTAAAAGCAGAGCCCACCAAGGATGAGCTGGCCAAGATCTCTGACTCAGTCAGCCTGCCAGCGCATGTGGTAAAGAAGTGGTTTGACAAAATGCAAGAGGGTCAGATATCACTGGGTGCTCCAACACCTCCCTCAGAGGAAGAAGACACCTGTGAAGCTAACAGTGTGGTGTCTCTGGTCCAAGGGAAGGACACGTGCCCCTCTGTGACCCAGGACAGCCCTACAGAAGCCACTCCAGCGGAGTTCAACGGCGCCCACAGCTCGCCGGCCTCTCCCTCACCACTAAACCTGACAGCTGGCGGTCCCGTCCCATCCCAGCCTTCCCAGAGCACTGAGGGACCCCTAGACCTGTCACTGCCAAAGCCCGCCGGAGGGGGAGCAGAGAGAGCAGTGGGTAAAGCCTGCGTTAACGCCTCTCCTTCCCTCCGCTCTACCCATGTGGATGAACCCCTAAACTTAACTTGCACAAAGAAGGAGGCATCGCCACTCTTAGCCATGGGCGCCAGCCACATCGCACTGTACGCCAGCCAGCAAAGTGCCAAACCCCTCAACATTGTTACCACAATGCAATGCCTAAGGGCACTTTCCACTAACAACAAACAGACTATCCTGATCCCCCAGCTGGCTTACACCTATACCACTACAGCAAACAGCCCTGCTGGGACCCAGACCCAGGAAACCCTCCACCTCAACGGAATAAAGGTGCGTTATCATTCAGCGTCCCTGTCTGTGTTAAAAGTATAGTGTTACATTTTAGAAATGTTGGTTATTTGTCTTTATTGCTGAACTCTCATTCGTATGCTTAATATGAAGCTACAGGCAGCAGCTAATTAGCTTAGCATAAAGACTGGAGATAGGGAAGCAGCTAGCAAGGCTCTGTCTCAAACTAACAAAACCAGCACTTCTAAAGCTCACTGAAGTTATAATGCAAAAGAAGAAAGGAAAAAAACCACAATCTTATTTTATTGGTGTGTTGGACTTTAAAACAAATCTTTACCAGGAAATCAGACCCCAAACAGCTCTGCATGTGTGACCATTAAAGAGGGTTTCATCCCTCCGATTCTATCTTCTATATCTATATTATGTGTTAATTAGTCAAATAAGGAAGTGCCTGTTGGCAGATTTTGTAGCCGTTTTCCCTGTCTCCAGTCTTTGAGCTAAGCTAAGTGACTGACTGTTACTCTACATTTACTGAGAGCAGTATCAATCTTCTTATCTAACTGGTGCCAAGAAAGCTTACAAGCAATTCCCCAAATGTCAGACAATGGCTTGAACTCCCACTGTCTGTAATCCTCAGCCTATAGTACTTTCCATTTGAGATGAAATGTTATTTTTGGTCCCTTTAGTTTCATTGGTGCAGAACAGACAATAGTTGTTGGAGGTCATGAGGCCAGCCAAAGCAAAAAAGTTTGAAACTTAGAAAACGATTGATTTTCAAAAAGTGCAGGAAAGAATTCAAGGTCTAATCCGGCGGCCATTTTGAGAAGCAAGTGGATTTGAATCAAGGTGGCTTATCTCTTTTTGGAGCAATCAGTCAACCTCTTCTGTCCTGATCATTAATTCTTATTGTTTGAAACCACAAGTACATGATAGATAGTGTGAATCCATCCCAAATACAATCAATAAGTCATATATAGAAATGTCAGAATTCAGCTCTTTGTAAAAATGATAGCCCTTAATAGTCCTGCATTGTGTGAACACCTAATGGGCCTGTAATGATGGATGTAGATCTCTGAGTGTATGAGTGATCTTCCTGGGCTGTCACCCAGAGGACATGAGGCTGCACTTTACTGCAGAGCCCTTATTGATCTGCTGGAATCTGTTTAAACGGCACACCTCTGCCTGCCTCATTGATTTATTGTTGTTGTATTATACTTTCGTGTTAAGTGGATTGGCATAGACCTGCCTTGTTAAAAAAAGAGCTCTGTGTATATATCATCTCCTTAATATTGCCCCACATCCTCTTTGACTGCATCAGTAGATGAGATTTACCAGCCCGGGGACAGGAGAAAAATGTAGGTGTGCTCTTAAGTGCACAGCACGGTTATGTTTCGGGCCAAGGGAAAGATTCCTCACAAATAAGCTGACAATACCGAGTGATTTTACATTTACAAATGTCTCCAGAGAGCTATGAGTTGGAAATGACGGGGTATTACTTCCTGAGAAATGCACCACTCGCACACGTTGTTTGCTAGTAGTGCTACTTTTGTGAGTCATTCATTGTCAAGCAGAGCAACATCATTATGAATTCCAACCAATACATGTGTGATTTGTCTTATTCACCAGGAGGAGAAGATGGACCCAGGCTCAGATGGTATGTCCACCGTGGAGGAGCAGAACGACTCCGACTCGGGCCCACAGAGGAAGAAGATGAAGAAGACGGAGAGCGGCATGTACGCCTGTGACCTGTGCGACAAGATCTTCCAGAAGAGCAGCTCGCTGCTGAGACACAAATACGAACACACAGGTAATTACAAACTCTTTGTGTAGCAAAGGCACAAACACAGCCAAAAATCATAGATGGATTCTGGTTTTGAAATAAAACAGAACCGGAACTTATCTCACCACCACTCACTGTTTGAGAGATGAGTCAGAGTGTGAGTGAAGGGGGATTTTTGAGCTACAGCGTAAAGAAGGGTGGACACCTCCATTCCAGCAGGTATTACTCAACATGCACAGAAGAGGTCTGAGAATTTCTTTCCGCCAACTCCCCACCTCTGCACTGCCAGCTTCTCATGTAAAGCACTGAATGTTGCAACAGGCTCTGGTAGTGATTTGCGTAGCTCTAAGATGATGATTCCGTGGCCAAGTGGAGGTCAGCGCCCTGAGAGGCGTTTTCTTTTTTTTCTTTATTACTCTGATACCTGGCTTGCAACCATAGTTTTCAGCTCCAAATGACCTCATCCAAGGTGAAACTAGATGTTCCCTGCCTGGATAAAGTTTCCTATCCAATTGTTGTGATTTTGTTGTATTGTTTTGAAATGTTCTCCTTGGATACTCTGATGATAGATACTTATATGGGCTTCACAACCTTTCACGCAACTATGTAGGGGGGATTTCAAAGTGCAATGGAGTGTTTATTGTTTTCCTCCGGTGCCTTTTTACTCAAACAACTTCTTCTTAAACAGAGATGTTGATACATATTTATGTTCTCCTTCTCTGCAGGGAAACGACCTCACGAGTGCGGCATCTGCAGCAAGGCCTTCAAACACAAACACCACTTGATCGAACACATGCGGCTCCACTCAGGGGAGAAACCCTACCAGTGCGACAAGTGCGGCAAGCGCTTCTCCCACTCGGGATCCTACTCCCAGCACATGAACCACCGCTACTCCTACTGCAAGAAGGAGACGCCGGGTCAGGGCGAGGGCCACGAAAGCCCCGAGAACGAGGCGGAGGCCAGAGCTGAGATGGAGGCGCTGAGCCGGCTGCAGCAGCTCCTCGCCCCCTCGCAGCTAGACTTGGACGAGCGAGGGAGCAGCACCAGAGACGAAGAGGAGAGCGAGGAGGAGGACGGTGCGGTGGACATGGACGACATCCAGGTGGTGGAGATAGGGGACGAAGGAGGGGATGAGGATGAGGAAGAGAGGAATGAGGAGAGAGTATTAGTGGAGGGAGGAGGAGATGAGGAGAAGACAGAGATGGAGGTGGCAGAGGAAGAAGAGGAGGAAGACACAAGGCAGGCGGAGGTGCTCGGGAGCATTCAGGAAGAGGAGGAAGTCGAGATGCAGGAAGAGGAGGCGATGGATACGGAAGAAGGGGTGACGGAAGAGGGGAAAGAAGAGGAGCAGGTCACGGAGGAGAGTGGAGGAGAAAAAGACAGTGAGACGGTTTCTGAGGAGCAGAAGGAGACGCCGGAGGAGGAAGGAGACTAAAAGAGGAGTCAGGCTCCTCAATGGGACACAATCAGATTCCTCCTCGTGTGCAGAGGAAGAACGCAGGAGATGATGTCTGGTCACTCTGACAGTCCGTTTCAGTTCACTACTGTGTAGAAAATCCAGGTGTGCCTGAAAAAAATACTAGTGACTTTTCCGCAGGAGAGCGATTTCTTCCTGTAAGAAAAATCAATTTGTAAAGAAAAAGATGAAGACGAACACAAATTTTAACAAACGAAGGAAATGCATTATACAGACTTTGGAAGCTAGAGCCGACATGTTTTAGATAATGTTTTATTACTAAAACACCTTGGGTCATTTCTTTTTATCAGTGTTACTAATTTTATCACTCATATTTTAACCTTTAAAAGCTGTACAGTTGGGAGATATTTCTATACCTTTTTATTGCCAATGAACAAAAAAAAAGTCAGTATTTTATTAAGTTGGAAGGAAAATAAGAAAAATCCTGTGCACTACAAGTGGCTTGGTTTACCTATGGATTAAGCAGTTGTGTTGTCAGCCCTTCAGTATTACCGCACTAGATATACCACGCCATCATGCTAGCAGAAGTTAGCATTTTGTTTCTTTTTTATGTTCTTTTAATTGGATTGTGAGCCTTAAGAAGAAAAAGTGGAGGGAGGGGTCCTTTTCAGTCATGTACTTCCATTTAGACTGTAGACTCATCGTTTCATTTTACAAATCAGTGTTTTTTAAAGGTAATAGTTTGACATTCGGGATAATAAAGGTATTTTCTTGACTTTGTTGAGAGTTAGATGAGAAGATAATGACCACATTCTGATAACTATACGGCTACAGCCAGGTGCCGCTTAGCTTAGCTTAGCATGAGGAACTGAACAAGGGGGAAACAAAGAATAGTGCTTTGAAGCATATTTGACATAGTGGCCAAACTGTGGAACTACAACATGTCTCCATAGGCTTACACAGGGAAAGAGACCTTTGTAATCTTTTCCTAAAAGTTGTAAAATCCACTAATAGCCAAATGCAGAGTTACTTTCTGTGATTGAGCCCAAGACAAACTATGGGAGGTTGGTTTTAACAAAGCGCTAGTGCACTTTTTACTAAAGGCTCCATAGATGTGGAAGAGCCGGGTAATATTATACTTCAAAGTCACTTTTTATGGGCTTTATTCACTACTAAGCTTCTTTCAAATGAATGGACAGGAGCCCGCTTCCAATGCTGTATCCAGATGTCCTTGTACATCCAAAACAACAAGCTAAAGCTAAATCTAACATGGCTAAAGCTAGCAGTTACTTCCTATGTATCCACTGCTTCCCACTCCAGTCCAGCAAGTGGCAGTAATGCATGCTGGACTATTTGTGACTTCCAGACAAAGCATGGCAAGCTATTTTCACCTATCTTGAGTATTTGCGCTAAATAAAGCTAATCATGTCCTGGCAATAGCTTCACATACAGTGGTACTGATCTACTCATCTAATTCTCCTGTAGGAAGCACATAAGCATATTTTCTTAAAATGTCAAACTATTGCTTTAAATGTTTAGAGCGAGCAAAAAAGGGTTGAAGAAAATGTTCTGACCCTCCCTATGCCTACCCCATACTCCGAGCCATATGCAAATAATCAAACTAAAACAAGACAAACATGCATATCAAAAGTGCCATTGAATATTGCTGTTGAAGCTTAGAAGCTATGATCAAGTATTCCTAGATCAACCAATAAAGCCACCTAACCTGTGAGAGTAGAGTTTAGCCAACAGATTTGAGAGAAGTTGCTTTAATTTCTAATCTGAGCAGCTAAAAGAATTACAATGCACATTTGTTCAAATGGATGATTATGAAGTATTATTTCTAATTATTAACCGTGTCCTGCCTTTTCAAAGCTTATTCAGTGCACTTGTTTAACACACCATGAAATGCTCAGATGTCTCTTCAGGTAACAAAATGTAGGCAAATCCCAGGAGTTCAATTCAACAACCTTTTTACCTGTCAGTATTATTTTTTGTCTCTTAAATGTTTTATGTTCCGTTTCGTTGTGTGTGTACTGTATGTTTTCAGCAATGGCAGTATTATCCCCACCCAAAGGAGATGGGTATGTCTGTTTAGTCATAGAGAACTTTTATATTTATGTGTCTTATTTTTTATATTTCTTTATGGTTATTTATTACACTATGTAGTGTACAATACTGTAGTTTGTATTAATACGATAATATATTTTAGTATGGACAAAAAAAGATTCAAAGGCAAATAACTAAAAGCCTAGACAAATGAGACTCCAGCATACTGAAGTATGTTTTTCGAACGAATAAAATGAAGTTTTCCCTTGGGAAAAAAATTGCACCCTGCAAGCCTGAAAATTTGAACCTGTGACCTCTGTGCATCCATTGTCATGTTAATTTTCTTCCCCCCTCTCTAATATGAAGCTACTGAACTTTTGAAAACTAATCGTATGTCTAATAGCATGAGTGTGGGCTGTTTTATTGAAGGAATATCCTTAACGACACAAACTGTCCTTTTTGCCAAGCCAAAATAATATTGACGTTTGTTCTTATGTTTTTATTTGTGCCAATTTGTTACTTTATATGTCAGTGTCAAGACCACGCCCACTTTTATATGCCCTTCCCCTTTTAACACCCTCATCTTTTTTTATAGTGATTGTTTTTTGTTTGTTTTCCTTTTTTTTGTTCATTTTTTATGACTCCCCATCTCACAATAAAATACATCAATTACAAGCTGCTGGGTTTGTGAGCGTATTGTTATTGAGTAATTATGACACAATATTGAGTTCATAATTGTACTGCAATTTTCAAGTTAATAATATCATAAAGAATGCCATAGGGAACACTACAAAAAACGAAAAAAAAGAAGGGTGGGGGTGAGGTTTCAGAACATAATTTAAATAAATATTTAACATGAATGCTTGTTCTGGGGTCATGTTATCCTGGCCCTGTTTTACCAGCTCAAGTTTAAACACAGTTTTTGAGTTTTTTTATATATCTTTGTGAATTACTTTTTGTTGAACTAAAAGGAATATTAGTTCAGACATAGCCCATATATATGTTAATGTTGTAAGGAACATATCAAACATGAGATATTTCCTCATGTGGTGCTTTATGCTAATTTGCACATAATTATCCCCACATTTGCAAACTCAGTTTATTACAAAGATAAAGGTCACAACGTCAATTATTTTATATAATAAAATGGAAATAATGAAAGAGTAGGTTATGTACTCGAAGGGTTAAATAAGTACTTTTACATAGATGAGGGGGAAAAAAGGCTTATTTGCTTTAATATCAAAGTGTGGTAAATATGAAGCTAGCTAGCAGCCAGTTAGCTTAGCTAAGAGTGAAGACGGGAAGCATGGATGGAACATCCAGTAAGTGACTGCACCCGGTCAAGAAATCAAAACGTGTACTTAAGAGGGTATATCTTTGTTTTATTAATCATTGGACATAGCCATGGTAGCTGTTTTTAGCATTTAGCTGGTAAGCTAAGCTAGTGGTTGATAACCAGCTTTTCCCCAATTACTTAAACTAGCCAACTGCTGGCTGTATAGCTTCTTATTTAGCATATTTGTGTGTTTATGTGTAAGTGGTATTGATCAATCTTTGCACCTAAATCTGATGAAAAAAAATCAAAACTTCTTTTTTTAAGCTAAACTACATTTTGCCTATATTTATATGAATAAAGAACCTACACACCTATTGTGCAAATTCAGAACATATTTTTCAGTCCAGTCTGCCTGTTAGCAGCCCAGCCCAAGGTCAACCCTATTGATCCAGATTAGGTTTCAGGAGGGTCGACCCCCCTCCTGCACCCCCACATCCCCAGCCCCTGCAACAGCATTAATTAGTAATGGAATGGGCCAAAAATCCATAGTCTGTTGAGGAGTTGAAAATGATACAATAGCTAGTGAACATATTTGATTTTTCTCCCTTGCTCTCTGTGTGATGATTTCAATAAGCCTCCCTCTGCCTCCAAATGTTTTTGGGGGCATTTTCAGGAAAGTACTTAAGTCTGAAGAAGGGAAACGAGGTGGGAGTGGGGAGGGATGATAACCTGCACCTGCCTCCCTTTGTCCATGGATGTAGCAATGTGTACCTGAGCTTGCAGGAGAGTGTGTTTGTACGTGTGTGTTGGGGGAATACGGTGTGACAAAGAAGGTTTGACTGTCATCATGTTAAATGGGTCCTCAGAGACCCTTGGAAGTGGGGGTTGGTGGTGGAATAATGCTTTATAGGACAGCTCACACCATAACGTTACTGTGTCAAACTGTTCCAACAGCATCTTGTAATTGTGCCTATTATAAATGTCTTTATCAGTGGTCACAGAGGCACCGCTCTGAAAGTCCCAAAGGTCAAAGAGTGTGTAGCCGGTGGCTGCATGTTCAGCATGCGGGGCCGTTTTACAGGCTTTCAGTCCAATCCGCGACTTAAAGCCAAGATATTGCCATATGTTCTGCTGGGCTCAGCATTTCAAAGGAAAATTGAAAAGCTATAACTGCTAAGAGGATATGGAGTGCTCTTGCCAATAATGGTGCAAAAGCCTGATGAAGTATCATGACTGCCGGGACTCTGACACCGAGCCAAACCCAGGGGGCTGAAGCTCCCCGGGGAAATTTAGTGAAAAGCCAGGAGGAGGAGGAGGAAAGAAAAGCCTGCTTTCAGGAAATAGCAGTCACTTAAATATCATGTTCATTTACTCAACCACTAAATAGCAGAACGTACACAGAGACATCATGTGTGTGTGTGAGTCTGGGTGTGTGCATATGTGTAAAGGGGCGGGTTAATATGTCACTTTATGTGACAAATTGCTGTTTCAGGGCTCCATTTTTAACCTGCTGGTCAGCATAAGCTCATAATGTATCTGAGGATATATTTATTTATTAAAATCTGAGAGACTCACATGAATATATTCAGAATATATTGCTTGTCTTTACAATAGACTTGTCAAACAGACAATTACACATGCAAGTCACTATCAAACAAGATAAAGCATCCTAATATATATTTCCTAACTGATAACTTGAAAACAAAAACAAATGTATACAGTTTTTTGGAGAAAGAATTATAGGTATGTATATAATGAAGAATTGCAGATTGCAAAAATCATGCAAAAGCACCATTTCAAATGGTATGATTACTGGAGGTGTGCTCATAGGTTTCTTGGATATAATTCATTAGTTGATCAATCAATCAATCAATCCTTGATTTCAGGAAACGACTTGCAACACATTTGAACACACAATGCATTTGTATAAATGCAGCGGTCAAAGGACTCCAGGGTCAACTCTTGAGGAGGTCAGTTAGAGCATCCGTATGTGTGTGAGTGTGTGTGTGTGTGTGTGTGTGTGTGTGTGTGTGTTCCCAAGGGTTGATTGGATTGTCATTGTGCTGTATTTAGCTCATACCATAAACATCTCCCTGGAGAATTACCCTTCAGCTACAGTAATTTGAAACCAATCGTTCACCATGTTGAGTTCCTCTAAGGTTTTAGGTGCCCTTGTTTTTGCAGGGAGCCATTATCCTGAATCCTGGTCACCTTTTACCAATCAACTCAATCACCAATGAAGCTTCACTTCTCCATCACACACACACACACACACACACACACACACACACACACACACACACACACACACACACACACACACACACACACACACACACACACACACACACACACACACACACACACACACACACACACACACACACACACACACACACACACACACACACACACACACACACACACACACACACACACACACACACACACACACACACACACACACACACACACACACCTTCCAGCTGAATCCTATTACGGTGTTTCTCAGAGATAAGCCCTGGTGAAATCTATCTATAAATGAAATGTATGCATCATTGTTTAAGCCTGTAATTGCTTAGAGACTCAATTCATTTTATTAGACGGCATATCTTCTCTATTGCTGCCGAAGATGTGTGTTAGTAACTGTGTTATTTTGTCCTCTTTTGTGCACTTTGGGTTGCTTTGTCATTGGGACAATGAGTTGATAGGTATGCATGAACTCATTCTCAAATCACGTTCACTCACATTCTCTCTCTCACACACACACATATATTTAGCATTAATGTTCTGGCAGATTCTTGCTTTCTTTTCAGGGTGAGGTTCAGGGCTGACTTTCACCACTTCCCCTCCTCGTTACCACATCGGGATTCGAGTTGCGCTAGAAAAACACCAGCGCAACCACAATCACCTCACAACCCCTGTACATACACACACACACACACATAGTGCAAACCTGCCGGTGTTTGCAGGTACGGCCGGCCCTCCCACACTGCTGGGACAACATGGAGCAGCTCTCACTCATGACTAGAATAACAAGGAGCTGCACAGAATTAAATTAAATGGTCTGCTCTTTGAACACACACACACACACACACACACACACACACACACACACACACACACACACACACACACACACACACACACACACACACACACACACACACACACACACACACACACACACACACACACACACACACACACACACACACACACACACACACACACACACACACACACACACACACACACACACACACACACACACACACACACACACACACACACACACACACACACACACACAGTTGTATGCGTTGGTCTTCCCACACATACAGGAAAGCATGCATGAACACATACACGCAAATATCTATTTCTCCCCTGTGTCTCTGCCGTGTGTGTGTGTGTGTGTGTGTGTGTGTGTGTGTGTGCAATCCCATTGTCCCGTCCTCCTCCGAGAAGCCTGGACCTTCAAGTGTTGTCTCCAAAGCTGCCACCTGATTGGCTACTGGAGGTCAGTGGATAAGCCCATAAAAAGGCGTGACATCTCTTTACGCTCCCTTAAATGTTCACCTTGTTGTCCTTACAGGGCCTGTGTGTTGCTAGGACTGCCTTTGAAACCTTCACTTCGTCTTGTCTGGGTAAAAAAATGAGACTGCTGTAACAACACTAAATAAATATTATCCTCCATGATGCTCGATCTGTCCTCAACTGTGACTCCCTAAAGAGTGATCAAAAGACAACCAAAAAAACGTCTTCTTTTCATTTTGACTAAAGTCCGCTCAACTTTAGTCATAAACAACTCTGCGTCTTCGTGTAAATGACTCTTTGCCCTTGGATGTTGTTCCGGCTATGTGCCAACCATGATAGAAATGTCATCAACACTCTCCGTGAACGCTCCAGAGTAACTCTATTCCCACCACAACTTGGGATTAATCGGACATTACAAGGACTTTATAAGAGGAATCTGGCAGGGAACGGACAGCAAACGCTTACAAAAATGGCCTGGGGTATAGGGTGGCTGATGGGCTTATGACTTTAGACTTTGGTAGAGCCCTGTCTCTGAGGAGTGTTGATCCGGCCGAGAGGGGAAAGTCATGGAGCAAACATCCAGATGTGGGGAGTCACTCAGAACCCGACAGCTGAGCACAGATGAACCCGCCCTCGAGGTTTTATTTATCTTCTCTGCCCTTCTTGGCAGCATCCTGCGTCTTCCATTGCTCTTATTTGAAATGTGTCCACCGTCCTAGACCTTTGGTATACATGCCTCTGTAGAGATGACCTTTAACCTTGGCCTTAGTCTGACTCCACATGTGAGTAGAGATTAAAAGAGGGGATGCTATTAAAAATGGAAGGATTATAAAGGCTGAATACAGAAAGGAACTGGACTGTGTGA